CAGGGAGCCCGATGCGGGACTCGATCCAGGGACTCCAGGATCATGACCTGAGCCGAAGGCAGTCGCTTAACCAACTGAGCCACCCAGGAGCCCAAGAGAGGCTATGGTCTTGGGGCAGGGAGTGGTACCAGGCCCACAAAAGGGAAGGACACCCTCCCACCCCAGCCTCAAAAGCCAAGAGCACTGGGATTCAAGGTGCCCTCCCCTTTGATCTTCTGTCCTTGCCTGGTGGCCTTGGCATGTCACTCCTGGCCCCCAGCCTCCATTTCCTCATCTTTAAATGGGCATCGTAGCACCACCCCCAGGAATTGAGAGAATCCACTTAAAGTGCTTTGCTCCAGTGAGTGCCAGCAATTGTTGCTGGCACGCAGCCACAGCCCTGGCATGGGGCCTGTGCCTGGTGATCTCAGACCTCTGTCTTCCCTGCCTGTGGCCCGGCCTGGACACCACCCCTCAGAGCCTCTCTGCAGGGGCCGGCCAGGGAGCCCACAAGACTTAGCCATGCCCCTAGCCCGCCCCGCTAACAAACAGCCACCACGCCTGCCCACTGTCCTCTGGCACTTTCCAGCCCTCTGGAGTCAGTGGCTGCAGCAGCAGGGCCCCGGGCTTTGCACTCGCCTTCCTCACCGGGCCACTGGTGGTGTGCGGGGACACAGAGGGCGAGCACCTGGACCCTGCCGTCCGTTCTGGAATCTATGCTCCCTCGTAGCTCCCCCTTTTCCTGTTAAACCCTGCCACTGCGGGGTTTCCTTGGGGAATGAGATGTTGGGGTCTGGGACAGAAGAGCAGGGTCTGTGCTAGCCTCCTCTGGCCTAAGGCCTGCGCCCCCATTCTTGGACCCTGGCTGGGCTGGAGCTCGGAGAGGACCCAGATGACTGTGCCTCATCTCAGTCCCTTGTCCGCTGTCCGAAGGCACCCAGTGCTAAGACTCCCAGGACCCGAAGTGTGGTGAGGACAGAGTGTCGTGTGAGGCTGTGGGAGATGTCTTTGTCCTGGGACCACTAGACAGTCTGGTGCTAGCATGACCCAAAAACAGTGTGCATGCTGAGCTGCTGTGGTCTCTGCAGGTTTCTGTCTGGGGTCCTGGGTCACAGTGGCTGTCTGGGCACCAGGCGGCATGTGCGTGACCGTCCCCCTGCATGAGCGTCCGGGTCTGCTGCTGGTGTGACCTCCAGTCCTGCCACATGTGCCAAGCTGTTCGTATCGCTGGGGCCTGCAAGCCAGTCAGTGTGGCCAGCCCATGTGTGAGCAGGTGGTACCGGTGCCCAGTGTGGGACCAGCTTGGGACCCTTGTGCCAGGAGACCGTTCTACCCCCGTTCCCTGCGGGGCAGGCTACCTGCAGGCGACTGTCAGAGTATAGCCCAGCCCAGGTGGCGCCTCCCTGTGTGAGAGTGTTGCAAACATTGGGGTCTGGCCAGGTCAGGGTGTGGGCAGCGGTTGTGACCTGTCTAGGTGTGTGGTGGGGGGGGAGGGGGGGAGGGCTGAGCTTCTTGAGGCTGGGAGATTCTCTGTATGTGTGGGAAGGAGCACCGCCTTCCTCTGTGTACCCCCAAGTTGCCTCCCTGATCCCCCCACAGATCTCTGGCTTTGTTCCCTCAGGCCCCACCCACTGGATGGAGATGGCCTTTGCTTGTGGGGGCCCAGCCCAGTCCCCCATCAACATTGACCTTCACCTAGTCCAGCAGGACCCCACCCTGGGACCTTTCATCTTCCAAGGCTACAACTCAGCACCTCCAGGCCCATGGATCCTGGAAAATGATGGCCATACAGGTCAGTACCCTGGGACTAGGACAACACCCAGACAGGAGCAGGAACCCACCTGGGAGTGGGAACTACCCACCCCTCCCCGCACACACACACAGGAATCAAAACCTCCACAGTCAGCACAGGAACATCCACACATGTTGGTAAAGACACCCCCAACAGGGGTCATGCACCCCTGTATACAGGTGTCAGGACCCCCCTAACAATAGCAATCAGCCATTGCCCCTAGGACCAGAAGTCAGAGCCCCGTCCCCCCTCCCCGCCCAGCATCAGGATGCCTCAGAAGTCATCACAACCCCCCAATATCACACATAGCTGTGGTGGGTCAAAACTCAAGTCACAGGGGGGCCACTCTCTCCCCCGTCCTTGCAGGGTAGGTTATTAGCCCTGCAGTCTGCTGACCCGCAGAGGGGCCTGGACACCAAATGAGGTCCTGATTCCATGGAAGCCCAGCCAGGGAGCAGATAGGCCTGAAGGGGACCTGTGCTGGCACCCTGGGCCCTAATAGCACAAGGGTGGGCAGGTGGGGGGAAAGAGACAGTCACGCGCTCCCCTACCCTCAGTGCTGCTCTGCATGGACACTGGCCTGCAGAGCCATCTGGGGATTCGGGGCGCCGGGCTGCCCCTGCCTGCCTACCGCGCCCTGCAGCTGCACTTCCACTGGGGGGGGCCTAGGCGAGGAGGCTCAGAGCACAGCCTGGATGGGCAGTGCCGCCCCCTGGAGCTGGGCTTGGGCATGGGGTAGGGTGGTGGGAGTGCCCCGTGGGAGGGGCAGCTGGTACCTCTCACGATCTGTGCCTCTCCAGATGCACGTGCTCCACATGAGCACGAGGTACCAGAGCCTGGGGGAGGCGCGAAGTCACCCTGATGGGCTGGCCTTGCTGGCGGTGCTGTTGGTGGTGAGGGAGGGTCATGTGACTCCCGGCAGTGAGGGAGGGACAGAGGAGCTCTGTGACTCCTTGTGCTTCCCAGAAAGAGGTCTGCAAAGCAGGGTAGCGTGGGCCTGTCCATGGAGTCTTGGTGGAGCTGTTGGGGGAGTGCATAGGGTTTGTAGGATTTATTTATTTATTTATTTATTTATTTATTTATTTATTTATTTATTTATTTATTTATTTAAAGATTTTATTTATTTATTTGACAGAGAA